AATGCTAAGGGGTTCAAAGAAGGTATTGGTTTGCAATAGAGACTCCTGGCAAGACTTCCCAAAGGAGAACAGGACTTAAGTCCGGGCCTGAAAGTTGCCGAAGGTTTTAGCTGGTGGCCATGTGGAAGGGCACATTCCAAGCAGAAAGCGCAGGAAGGGATGAAGGAACGGAGTATACTGAAGAAAGGTGGACTATGAGGAAGCAGTGGAAGAGAATGCTAGGAAAAACCTCACGTGATCCCTGAGGGCCTACAAAACTACTTTGTATTCCATTCAGCTTTGTAATGCAATCAAGAAGTCAAATGGAATCTAGCTGTAAATATTTAAGACAAATGTCTTTCTCAGAAGCTTGAAATGTTTTACCAGTCAAGTTTTAAGGATTTTTTAAAAATCATCCATCTATGATGCTGTGGTAGCGTAGTGCCTAAGGCACTTGACTGCTAACCAGAAGGCTGGCGGTTCAAACCCACCAGCCACTCCTCAGAAGGAAGGTTGGGCAATCTGCTTCAGTAGTGATACAGCCTCGGAACCCCAGGAGGGGTTGCTATGAGTCGGGTCTGACTCGATGGCACATAACAACAACATGATGCTGTGGTAGTTAAGGTTACGTGTCAACTTGACTGGGCCTGTTTTTGTGTCTGAGCAGCTGGTTTTAGTTAGTCCCCATGATGAAACCGGCAATCAGCTCCATGGTGGAATCTGCCACGATCAGCTGCGTAGCTGCTTGAGGGATGTCTGTTTCCAGTATATAAGGAGAAGCTTTGGGAATGGTCTGCAGCTTTTGGAAAGCTTGAACCCTCCATGTAGCCTAGTTGTTGTTCAGCAGCCTGCCATACTGTCGCCCATCTTGGGGCTGTTGTTAATGGAGTTGAATCAGTGTCCTGTCGTGTGGTTTGGTAATATCAGGACTGTGCCTTTTTACTTGTCGATCTTGGAATTGTCAGCCTCAGCAGCCAGCAGCTGCCTCAGTGAAGAAAAGCCTCTAGCTTCAGTGGGCTTGGGAGCAACAGGCAGAGCTGAAGGTCAAGGTCGAGAGGCTCTCACCCAGCCCCTATAGCCTGACACTTTGAGTTCGGATTTCTAGCCTCCTGAACTATAAGACTCCTCGGAAGGAAGGTTGGGCAATCTACTTCTGTAGTGATACTGCCTCAGAAACCTAAGGAGGGGTTGCTATGAATTGGGTCCGACTCCATGGCACATAACAACAACAACAACAAAAACTATTCAAGAGAATAAACCTGTTTGCTAAAACCACCTATTTGTGCTATTTCTGTTAGAGTGGCTCTAGGTAACCCACACAGATGCCAAAGAAGTTTCAGTGTAGCTTCCAGACTAAGACTGTGAAGAAAGGCCTAGTGATCTACTTTAGAAAACCAGCTGATGAGAACTCGATCTATCACAGTGGTCAGAGCCACAGCCGATCCTGGGGATGGCGCCCGACCAGGCAGCATTCATCCTGTCCTGTACGTGAGGCTGCCAAGGTCAGGGGCAGACTCAATAGCAGCCAACACAAGATGATCTCCTATGTTCGGATGGACACACCTTTGATAAAAACAACTGAACCTACAGTCTTTTACATGCTACCTCAGAGACACGTATGTTTACATCTTACCCATGTGTTTGTGTTTTCTTGGGGGGGGGGGTCTTCCAGAAAGAACAGGAAAACCAGTTAGACAAATTCTAAAAAAGCTGTAACTCTACATCCTACCTATGTTTATTCCCTGAAAAAAAACTGAGATTAAGTGCTTAAAATCAGTATTAACTGAATACAATGAACTGCATAATAAAGTGCATTATTATTGATTCTAGGTAATACCTTGTTGTTGTTATGTGCCACTGAGCTGATTCAAACTCATAGCAACTCCACAGGACAGAACAGAACTGCCTCACCGCGTTTCAGAATTTTAAAATGCTTTATAGAAGCATTTTAAAATCGATGGTATCTTAGAGAGACTTAAACATAGTGACATGAACAGACACACGTACAACGTACACCTATGATCACTGCAGCGCTATCTATATCATCAACAGATGACAGCCCCGCCCCCCCAAATATAGTCCATACATACAGTGAGATACTACACAGCCATGTAGAGACATGAAGCCCGGATGCAGGCTATATGACCAAACACTGAAAACATTACCCTGAGTGAAGTCAGGCAGTCACAAAAAGACAAAAATTGTATGATGTCACTTACATGAGATAGCTAGACCAGGCAGAGGGAGAGAGACTGAAGTTGCATTACTGGTTACCAGGGCAGGAGGGGAATCGCTGAGCAGGAAGCAGTGGGCCTCCGTCCACGGTGATGGAAAGCATGATGACGATTACTGCGATGGCACGTTCCTAACGTCATTATCACCAAATGCATATGTGAAAAATGTTGAATTGGCATCTGTTGCATTATAAATGTATTTTCCAAAACCAAACAAATTCACTGCCGTGGAGTCGGACCCGACTCATAGTGCCCCCTCCTTGGGTTTCCAAGGAGGTATCATTACGGAAGTAGATTGCCCAACCTTCCTCCGAGGAGTGGCTGGTGGGTTTGAACCGCCAGCCTTCTGGTTAGCGGTCAAGTGCCTTAGGCACTATGCCACCAGAGCTCCTATAGTTAAGAAGATAAATGTATTTTACAACAATTATAGAAAATATATGTTAAAATTAAGGAACTACTGTGATGATGACAATGACTAGCCATCAGGACCCAGTTCCTCAGTACACGGTCCCTCTGTACACTGAAGGGTGTCTAGATTTCAAAGGCAGATACAGGTTTTCCCTGCCATCTGAAAGTAGAGTGTTCTATGAAACCTTCTGTAAATCAAAAATGGTGAAAAGTGAAAAATCAATTTACCATTAATTTATATGGGAAAATTTTTTTGAACATTTCCAGACCCCCAAAACCAAACCATACCAAATAATGCATACAACCTAAAGTAACACTAACAGATGGTGTTCACAGACACAGTTCAAAGCGGTGGCTTTGATGCTGTGATGATGCTGAGTGCAGCTCCTGGGGCAGGCACTTGGTGACGCCACTCTCGCTGCTCAGGGGGCTGCTGCCTCTTTAGTGGCTTACTGAAAAACAGATGCTGAGTGCTAGTTGTGCTTTTCATCCTTTTTCATAAAAATGAAAATCCTCTTTGGATTTCTCTCGGTTAGGGACAACAGGTATTAATGTAGGTCTTTCATAAAGGCGAGTGACATACAGTGAACTTTTAAAAAGCAGAGGAAACTAACTTGGGAGATTTCATGGTTACCATGAACGTCAGGTCAACTGCGAAGGAACTGTTTCAAGTGCTGAGGAGCAAGGATATCTCATTGAGGACTAAGGTGCTCCTGACACAAGCCATGATATTTCCAACAATCTTGTATGCATGTGAGAGCTGGACAATGAATAAGGAAGACCAAAGAAGAGTTGATGCTTTTGAGTTGTGGTGCTGGCGGAGAATGCTGAAAGTACCATGGACTGCTGAAAGAACTAACAGATCTGTCCTGGAGGAAGTGCAACCAGAATGCTCCTTGGAAGCAAGAATGGCCAGACTTCGTCTCACCTATTTTGGTCATGTTGTAAGAAGGGACCATTCCCTGGAGAAGGATGTCATGCTTGGTAGGGTGGAGGGTCGACGAAGGAGGGGGAGGCCTTCAACGAGATGGATTGATACGGTGGCTGCGATGATGGGATCAAGTGTAGCAGGGATTGTGGGGCTGACGCGGGATCGGGCAGTGTTTCGTTCTGCTGTGCATGGGGTCGCTATGAGTCAGAAACGACTCGATGGCACTTAACAACAACAACAATGAACGTCAGGCGATGTCCCTACCCCTGCCTGAATCAGAGAGGGGAACTTTACGATGATTCTAAAGGTTCATAACTCATCCAGTCACCTCCAAATCTGTCCCTCCCATCACCACAGCAACCCATGTAACAAAAAGGATAAGAGAAGAGTTTTCTGATGCCTCCTAAGTCTGGGAGCTTAGCTTATCCTTGGATGTCACCTGAAATACACCACTACCACAGTGATGAAGGCCATGTTCAAACTACTCCCTTCAGTGCTTTGATACTGGACCACCAAATGATTTACATCAGGCCTCCACAGCATCTTCATTTGTTAGAATGACTCACCAATGACAGAACAGAAGTGTGAGTCAGGCACATGTTCTCATTTACCTTAACCACTAAAGCAAAGCCGGTATGCCAATTATTATCCCCAGTAAAACAGTGATTAACAGGGGCTTCTAGAGAGTTAGTGGCATGGCCAAGGACACACAGCCAGGGGTGTGAGGACAGGAGTGATAGTTTTAACCACCAAACCAATCTTCCGCTACTAACTACTTTTACACGCAAACTTTCTGCACAGATTAAAACACACTAAGATGACAGAGAAAGTCATAAATGAAGTGTTTCATTCATTCTACAAATACTTAGGTGATTCTGTACACTGAAGGGCAATTGTAAAGTGTACTTTACAGATGAAATCTAATAGTGATGTTGTTGAAATATTTGTATCATTAGAGTGCCTGTGTAAAAATTCTTTCCATCATTTTCAGATGCACTTTGAAAATAATTGAACATTGTACATTTCTTTTCAAGTGGAATTTAAACCATTCTATACTACCTTAATATTCCACTTCAAATATTTCCGTATCTACATCAACAGACTTTTATGTTCAATGTAAACAAAACTTCTTAAGTTTTCACTTTCATTTTCTTCTGACACCTTCTGCAAAAGAATGTTGTATTGCCCATTTTTCAGGTAAACCCTGAAACCCAATGCCATTGAGTTGATTCTGACTCATAGTAACCCTATAGACAGAGTAGAACTGACCCATAGGGTTTCAAAGGCTGCAAATCTTTATGAAAACAGACTGCCTCATCTTTCTCCTGTGCAGTGGCTGGTGGGTTCAAACTACTGACTTTTTTTTTTTTTCTGTCAGCAGCCAAATGCTTTAACCACTGTGCCACCAGCCTAAAATAATATGATTGGAAAAGAGAAAGAAGGCTCCAGCTAAAGATGGAATGACTGACTCCCGGGTTTCCAGAGAGGCTGATGAGAGGTCTGTAAGCCAGCAGATGCTGCCTCCTTGTATCTGGCTCAGCCAGGTGCACACATGTGCAAGCAACTGAGTTCAAGTCCGGTGTGGCACTTTCAGAAAACGGCATCAAAGACTGGACTAGCAATCTCTCTTATTCTCCAGTCACTGGACATTTAAGAGCAAAGATATTGATGAGCTCTCTCCCTCCTCTTCTTTTTCCTTGTAACAGATGGAGGATTCATGGCTTGTCCTTTCGTGGTCTCCAGTTTCATCTGATTATTTTTTCTTTGCTTCTGCTTCCTGACAGCTCTGCAAAACAAAGTGCTAAATTATTTTCAAGAATGAGCACAGTGAATCATGTAATTATGCCGAAGTTTAATTAACTAGCTAACCAAATAAGAAACTAGAAAGAGGGGGAGGATTTACTGTATTATAAGCCTTAGTCCACAGAGTCCTAACCATAGTGACAAGGAGAAAGCCAGAACCTGACCAAGCAAAATGTTCCAGGGAAGAAATTTCTTTGAAAGATGGTTACTACAGATCTAACAATCTATTTTGGACAAACACATCACAGAGGTAAACAGTCAAGCCAGTGAGTTAGGGTGTTTTGGTATATCTATACTGCTCTACTCAGCACTTCAATCTCCAATCCCAGAATTACATTTTTTAGAAAAGGGACCGATACATCTGGCAGCTGGTGGAGGTACAGGGATGCAAGGAGCACTGTGGGAAAGAATGGCAATGCTGGCAGGGCCCATTCTGAAAGGCCTGCATCCTTCAGCTAAGTTTCCTCTTGTCAGTAGATCTGAAAGTCCTGACTTCTTGAAGACTAGTTTCAAAATGAAAAAGCTGGAACTGGCCCTCTGTAAACACTACACCTTTGCTTCTGTGTTCTTTGAACTAAGTTACAGGCAGTCTGTAGCTAAGAAAGTTTACTGGTTTGCTCATTCCCTTTCTCTACACAAAAAGAATCATGCCATTGATCATACCAGGAACCAAGGAACAGGTCGGGACTAACAGCTCTGGCAAGCCTGGAAATTCTTCCTCACTAGCCAGCAATACTGACACTCAGCTTCGTCTCTTATAAACTATCAGGAGCCCTGGGAAACTCTTATGCTTGACCTTCCTAGGACAAATAATACTTGGGAAAGGTTTCACAAACAATACATAATCCCTTAGTTAATGAACTAAATTTAAGCTTCACCTTTTGTCCACTCAGCCAAAGTGTTGGGAATCCAAAAGTGAATGAGCATCATCTTTGACTTCAAGGAACCAGAAGGCAGGTTAGGCAAATATCACCTCCCTTCCCTTGGTTTTTTTGCAGGTAAAGAAATTAAGGCTCTGGATGTCTATGATCATCCAATGAGAAAATGGCAGGACTAGACTGATCTAAAACCTATGCTGTTACTCACCTGGCATACTCTATTTACTCAGGTATGCAGGACGCTAAGCAGACAGTAATCACTCAGTATGTGCTAGCTACTGGTGGTGGTTCCACACCACTTGGTGTTATTCAGAGGTTTGCTTGACAAATTTACAATGCTCCATATTTACACTCTGCACTATGGATTGGAATATTCTATCAGTTCAAAATAAACCAACCAGCTTTATATTGTTTGTGCATGTTGCATAAATCTTTTTCCCTCAACTGATTTTTAAATATAAGATAATTTCCTGATAAATGATGTCTTAGGAAATTTAATGACGTCAAGTCCAATCTCTTGATAGCAAAGTCAATGAAGCTATGCGTGCCTGCACAAAAAAAATTTAAACAGATTTCTCTTATTCACAAATAAGCAGGACTAAAAACGAACAGTATAACCAGATTTCACTAGAGAATACAGTAAACAAAAATAAATGAAAAAAATTGTAAATATACTCATTTGTAATGTGAATAAACAAAACTTTCCAGATATAAAGTCTCTATGCTAC